TAAAGCTGATGTGGAGCCATACGCCACATTCTAATAATCCCTGGCATTTAAGACCCCTGAAGAGCTGGCCTACAATCTCATCTGAGACTACTGACCCCCTGCCTCCTGAGGCTGCAGACACCTGTTCAAGATCCTCTTAGCAATCCAACATCCATGTCGTTGCCCCACGGTTCCCTCAGCCAGGGACCCCATTCACTGGTGAAATTCTTCCTACCCTTTAAGACCCGGATCAAGGGCCATCTCTACTGTCTAGCCCACTTCTCGCACCTTGGAGTTTCACCTCTGAGCACCCACCACATCCTGTATGCCTTTCCCTAAAGCATAGAGCCATTCTGCTCTCTGGTTGCCCATTGTTATGGACTGACTTATGTACACGCCCCCTTCATGTGTTGCAACCCTAACCCCCAGTGTTTCAGAATGTGACAAGGGACATTATGTATTTGGAGGTATGACCTGTAAAGCAGTGATTAAGGTGAAATGAGGCCATTACGGTGGGTTCTAATCCAATCTGACTGGTGTCCTTGTAAGCAGAGGAGATTAGGACACAGAGACATCAAGGGCATGCACAGGGGAAAGACCAAGTGAGGACACAGGGAGAAGGTGGCCATCTGCAGGCCAAGGAGAGAGACCTCGGAAAAAATCAAACCTGCTGACACCTTGATCTTGGACTTCCAGCCTCCAGAACTGTGAGAAAAGAAGCATCTTTGTCTAAGCTGCCCAGCCTGTGGTTCTTTGTTACAGAAGCCCGAGCTGGCTAATGGACTCACGAGCAGGCCCTCTCCCCTGAGACATAGTCTAGGTGGGGCTCCCAGGTCTGGCCAACAAAAGCACTGCTGCCCTTGGCCGCTGTGATTGGTTTGGGATGGACACATGACCCAGAGTCAAGCCCTGTTAGCTGATCCAGTCGGGATGAACCTTAGGACTTCTGTAGGGGCCCCCAAAGAAAGGCTAATGCTCTTTCTTGCAAATTTAGAACCTGGAAGTTGTGGTTCTGGCACTTTCAGAGCCATCCCGCCACCCCAAGAAGCAGGTCTGGGGTTGGCAGAAGCCATTCCAAAAGTCAGCACCATCCCTGTCATTTGCAATGACTTAAGCAGACATAAATGCCACTTTTTGCCTGAGAGGGCTTGGACTGGGTTTCAGTTTCTAGCATCCAAGAGGGCTTTGTCTGGTACATGTCCATGGCCTTCTCCTGAGATCTAGACAGTAAAATCTAGAACATTCAGGAGGGGAGACAGAGCCATGAAACACAGAGCTGGAGACAAGATCGGAGGCTGAGGAGGCAGTAGAAGGTGAGCATTTGGGTCTCAGCATGAGATGGATAACTCTGCCAAGGGCAGCTGCCCACCACCCCAATGTCAACTTTCCCCTTCCTCCTCAGTCACAGACCCTGAGCTGGTCTCAGAGCTACTCTGAATAAAAGACTAGACTTCCCAGCTTCCCTTGCAGCTAGGTGAGGTTATGTGACTGAATTCTGGCCAATGAAATGTAAGTAGAAGTATGGGGGTGGGGGGTCGGGGTGCGGGGGCGATGTTTCCTGCCATCCAGAGTGTGGCCTTGATGGCCAGGGCTCCTCCCAAACTCCAAGACTACACTCTTGATGCCTCACCTACAAGGCAGCCTTGCTGGTTGGTCATTGCCAGGAAGAGGCAATCCTATCAGGGCAAGAGCACTGAAGGCACTGAGGAAGAGCCTGGGAGCTGAAATCTGAGGCTTGCTTCTTGGTGTCCTCAAGAGGATATGTTTACACATGAGGAAACCAAGGCTCAGAGGGCAAGTGACTTCTCAGACCCTTGGGGGTCTCATCTGCACCTCCTCGTCCTCGGCTCCATCGCCACCACCTTTCAGGTTCCGGGCCAGGGTACCTCCTTCCTAACTGGCCTTCAGGTCATCAGTCCCCCTTCATCCTCAGCATCACCTCCAAAGCAGATCTGCACTGCTATCTCTCAGACCATAGCCAGTGTCACCGACTGGCCCCTGGCCCCTCCATAGTTCATTCTATTCCCGGCAGCTAGAGCAAGGCTGTTAGATCCAAAGTCAGATCCTGTCATTCCCTCACACTCCATTCACTGGAGGAAAACCCAAATCCCTGACTTGGCCTGACAGATGTCACACTGTCCAGCGCCTGGCTTCTTCTCTGACCTCTGAGACTTCCTCTCCCCCTGCTTGCTGTACTCCGGCTACACCAGCCCTCTCACTGGTCCTCAAACTGCCAAACACGTTCCTGCCTGGGGGCCTTTGCACATCCATCCTCTTTGCATGCCCTTCCCCAAACATGCCCGTGGCTCACCTCCCTTATGAATCCAGAGGCCTTCCTTGACCAAACAGGCTGCAACAGCAGCCTCCAGCCATGGTGGGCACTCAGTAAATATTTGGTGAATGTATAGTTAATGAATGACATAAATAAACAAATGAATTTTATAGCCACCCTTTAATGAGCCTTCCAAAATTACTATTAGGCTGGATCATATGATGTTGCCATTTTTGCAGGTCAAAAATCATTAAATAGTGGCTGTTTCATACAGTATGACTTTACTTTGGCAGCTAGGCCTTTGCTCAAAATTCTCCAATTGCTCCCACCACCTAGTTTGAGTTCAAACTGCTCAGATTGATGCCATACACCTCCTGGCCCTGGCTCCCACTCACTTCCAGGCCTGTGGACCTGTTGCCCTAGCACTGCTATGCCCCGGGTTTTCTTAGGCTCCTCTCTTTGCTTGGATTCCCTGAGGCCACTCGACGTGCAATAGATTCCCCCGATTCTACAACTCTGGTCAGCTGGGAGGGCTGCTGGACAACAGGGGCTCCTGGCCCCATAGCCCTCCACTGCACCCCAGCACGCACTATTATAATGCCAGGCTATGGGCTCGTTCTCCAAGGCTGCAGCCTGTTCCAAGGCTGCATCAACCCAGTCCTAGGACACCCTGTCACTCACTTTCATTGACCTCTAACCAGTCCCTTCTGAGCCTGTTTCCTCATCTGTAACATCTCATATGTCAGCAACATACAAGTTTAAAGTAATGCCAGAGCCCAGGCCTAGGTCCCAAGGACAGGGGACTGGGGATGCGAGCAAGAGAAGGCAGAAAAACCACGGGTGCCAACAGAAGGCTCACAAGATGGGAATTTCAGGACCTAAATTGGACTCAGCGTTGATGCCACCTTCCCGTGTGAGCCAGGGCAGCCCCGCCCTCTCTCTGGGCCCCCATTCTCCACCTGAAAAGTCAGCCCCGAGGCTAGAAGAGGGAGAAGGAAGGGCAGGTGGTACAAGGCAAAATCCTAACCACAAAGATGTCAGAAAGGGCATGCATGTGAAGAGAAGTTCTATAGAGGAGGCTGTCTCGCCCCCTGCCAACCTCACCATGAAGCTGGGGTCTGTCCCCCTCAGGTGTGAGTAAGCAAATGCCTACAGAAGATGGTGACCAAACAAGACCTGCTCAGGACCAAGATGACCAAGAAGGAGGAAGGAAACATCCAGTGGTGAGTGTGATGGGGAGCCCCAACTCTCATGGAGCTGGCATTCCCAAGGGGTGAAGAATGAGTCACAGTGCCAAGTGCTTGGCTGATGGGCTGGAGCTTCATGATAGGAAGGGGATTTAGACCCAGGTGATCAAGGGAGGCCCAGAGGCCCGACGGCCGTGAGGGAGAGATGTGCACAGAGAACGGGGGACTCTGGGGTGCTGACTGTGAGAAAGGATCTGAGGCAGAAGGAATGTGCAGTGCTGGGGCCCCAGGGCGGGACCCAGCCTGGTGTGTTTGGGAAAAAGGACAAGCCTGGGTGGGCAGGGGGGAGGGGGAAGATGGGAGCAGATGGGGGCAGAGGTCAGCAGCACTTTAAAAATGAGAGGAAGCCTCCACGGAGTTTTAAGCAGGGAAATGACATGATCTGATTTTCATTTACAAAGGAGGACCCTGCCTGCAGGAAGGTCTGCAGAATAGCCAGGGGGCAGCAGGATGATGGGGGCGCCAGGGAGCCCAGAGGCGCCAGCTGTGTGACCTGAGGGGGAGGAAGTAAGGAGACATGGAGAAATGGCTGGATTTGGGGTGGATCTTTTCAATATCCACTGAATTTACTGATGCTGGGGCTGAGGGACAGAGAGAACTCAGGGGTGCTTTTAGAGCAGTTCAGCAGGCCGGGTGAACCACTCCAGCCCAAAGAGACCTGAGACGGACTTATTTTCAGAGAAGTTCACAGCTTGGCAGCAAGCATGCAGACTTCCTGGTCCCCCAGTCCAGACACACACAAGCAGGACACATATCATGGCCTTTTCCACAAATATTGAGGCCTCCCAATGACCAACCCCCTTTCCACCAGGTTTTCCTCACAGTTGCTTTGAAAACCAAAAGTGTGACCTGATACTTTGTGCATGTCTGTGTGTCTATCTCTGGGTGTGCACGCACACACACACACACGCGCGTGCACACACACACAAACACACACGGACGCACGCCCATGTATGCATGTCCAAGCAACACACAATTCCACAAAACAGGGGTTGCAAATTCAAATGCCCACAGTGGCCTGGTGAGTCATAAAAGGGGACTGGGCGATAATAGGGAGTGGTGGGGACTGTGGCAGTGGCTCCATCTTAAAGGAAGCTTCATTCTCAGCTTGACCCCACTATAACTATGTAGGCACATATGAAAGTTACCAGTAGATCTGCCCATTTTTAAAAAGAAGCCAAAAATTCATACTTTTAGGTATAAATGTTATTTTTTTTAATTGGACTTCAATTTAAGAAACATCAGTGCTATATCAGCCAATTAGCATTTAGGCCACTGGTTGCTGATTTTCAACCTTGCCATAAATGGTTGGAGTGGTCTGGATTTGAATTAGAGATCTGACCCTGCCCAGGAGAACTGATTCAAGTCATGACACCTGCAGATCCCATACAGGGGAGCATTCCAGCATGGGGCAGGTGAGAGGGTCACAGAGGGATCCTGAGGGTATTCTGGTCTCCCATAGCCTCTAAGACGTTGTGTAAGTTGTCCGGGTGAGCACATACCCACTTTGAGCTCCTTCCCGAAGACGGTGCGCTCCCCCAGTGCTGAGCAGTTCCAGCGGCCATTGCGGAACTGAAACTGACACTCGTCGAGGCCCATTTGTGAGCCTTCTCCTATGACGATGATGGCGTCGGGTCGGCTCTGGCAGATCGCCCGCTGTCTGGGAGCCAGGCCTGGGATCTTGTTACAGATGATGCTCGCGCCCAGAGCTACCACCGAGGAGAAGCCACTGGAGCAGGGGACACAGAGAAATGGAGTGTTAGTCCAGCAAGGTGGGGGGCATGGCCTACAGGTCCTTCCAGGGTGTCTGATGCTGTTGTCCCTACTCCCCCTACACCCTTACACCCCTGTTGCTCCCAGCGGAGGTCTCCCAACTTTTTTGATACTGCACACCAAACCCACATTTATTCATTTTGTATTCCATATCAGTACTTGTGTGGTATGTATATTCAATATTAGTGAGCCTTGATCTTCTTTTAAGATACACACAAAAAAAGATGACATATGTCACAAATACAACATTTTGCACAAAGCAAGTTGCCTTCGGATTTATGGTAGAGTTCAGTTGAGATGAAATATTAAATCATGCAAACTAAAACCCAATATTGTTTAGGAATCGTGTCTATGTGATAACTCTGCAAAGGCAAGCAAGGGGATGAGAACCCCAAAGTTTCCTGCAGCAGTTGCCATGAAAGGTTGTGGGTACATGTTAAAAAAAAAACAAACCGCAACTGCTGCCACATGTTATATATACTCTCTGGTATGTATGTATATGTTGTTTTACAAACAAAATCTTTGAAAAGTAATTGTAAATAGAAGGTCTAGTATTTTCTCTCTGCGTGCCAATGGAGCGTGTGTACCCCACTCCAGAAATGACCAGGCTAGAGGATGCCTCTCACTGTGAGAGGCATGGTTGAACGGCTGCGGCTGCAAGCAGGTGCGCGCAGAGCGGACCAGGTGGCCGCCCGCCGCGACCATGGTTCCTACCTTCCTAATTCATGGTTCCTACCTTCCTAATTCATTCTCTGTGCAGATACATACTGGACACCTATCAGGTGCCAGGCACCATGCTGGGAGAGAGGCAAGGGCCTGCCCTCCAGGAGCTCTGGAGGGATACTACACCCATTTCACAAATGAATAATAGACCATTTCAGACAGTGGTGGGCACTATGAGGAAGGTAAGTGAAGAGGCCATAAATGAAGAAGGTGGGCTTGGGAAGGAAGAGAGAGGGGCCACTTTAGCTGGGGTGGTCAAGGATGGGAGGTGCTGTGCGGCAGGGCCTGAATGGCTAGGAGCCAGTCGTGGGCAGGTCTGGGGGAGAGTAATCTGGGCAGAGGGAACAGCAGATGCCAAGTTCTCGGGGGTCGGGGGGGCAGCAACCTTGGGATCGCCAAGGAACAGAAAGATCCCACAGAAGCTGGTGCAGGGCTCAGGGAAGGAGAGGGTCTGAGGAGAGAACCTGGTAGAGGGCTAGGATTTTCTCAAGTGCATCAGGGAGCACTGAAAGGCTGTAAGCAGGAAACTGACAGGATCCCATCCTGCCAGCCCCATGGGAGAGAGGAACGTGGGGCGCCAGAGCAGGAGCAGGGAGAAGGGACAGGGAAGAGGGGGTGGTGGCTTGGCCTTGGCAGCAGGAGGGGTGGCTGCGGATGGAGCCGACCAAACTTTGCGATGGACTGATAGAAGGGTGGAGCTGAGGGGAGGGATGGGGAAGGGTATGAGGGAAAGGCGTCAGTGTGACTCCTGGGTATCTGGCCGAGGGTGGGGCCATTTCCTAATATCAAGATAACCCCAGACAAGCTCCAGGGGCAACCCTGATGGTTCAGGTAGCCCTCCCTTTACACAAAGATGATCCACACATCTGGAGCTTTTAAAGAGAAGACCTCACCCCTGATGCCTCACTCTGGTTATAATAATAAGAGCTTCCATTTACTGAAGGTCACAACCAGCCCCAGGCAAAGTGCCTCACACTTTCCATCCTGGGACTCAGCTACAGGAAGTTGTTCTGGAATTGGAATTTCTTAAAGCAAGGCTCTGTGTACCAACAGTGCAGGAGACGAGGTGACCCCACTGCTCTCCAAGCACATTACTGACTGGTCCTATCCTCTTTCCCTCCACTCCTGCCTCACACCAGCCCTCTTCCGGCCTCCGGCCCTTTGTCCTTACTGGTCCCCTTCCCTGGGATCTCTCTCCTCCCATGAGCTTCACAGGCTTGGCTTCTTGCCATCATTCCTGTGACTTCATGGGGCATCTTCCTTGACCACCCCAGCTAAGGGAACCTGCCTCCCATCACACCCCTCATAACTTTGCATCACAGTCTCTGTTTTGTTCACGTAATTCTCTGGATTACTCACAGTCTTCTGAAATGTTTTAATGTACATGTTTGGTTCTGTGTGCCCACTTTGTTTTATCACTTGTCCTTCTCATTAGACTATGAGCTCTTTGGGGGCAGGAATGATGTCTGTCGGTTCACTAAATGGCTACTGAATGAATAAATGAATGACTGACGAACTATGGAGTTTCCAAAATATCACTCAAGGTAAGTACCTATATGACACAGCAGGTGCCCCTCCCCAAATATGCCCTGAAAGCATCAGTGAACTTTTGCAGCATCCCTACCATGCCAAGGCAGTATGGCAGGTATTGCCGCAAACATGAGATACACGTGACCTTTTTAAACAGCCCTGGTGGGCAGGAATCACCCTTTTCACATATCTGAAAATTGAGGCTCACAGACATTGAGATCTGGAGGCTAGTGGGTCACCGATCTGAAACAGAAGCCTCTCTAGAGCTCTCATTCATTCATCTCAGCCACTGAAAGAGTCTAACACGGCTAGAGCTAGAATGTTTGAAATGTTTGAAGAAGAGGCGGCATGGAAAGATTGTCAAGCAGAGATGCTGTGGCCACAAGTCAGGGGGAACCTGTGAATGCTTAGCTTACCACCAGGGAATTCCTACCCCAACAGAGTATAATTGATATATTAGAGTCAAAAATTCAGAGGAACAATAATCTAGCAGTGAAAAGGTCAGGCCTAGGGTACCATCGAAGCTTCCTTCACCTTACTAGCTGTGTGGCCTTGAGCAAGTTACATCCCCTCTCTGTACTTCAGCTTTTCCATCACTAAAATGAGGATATTGATCATTAGTCCTCATTTCACAGTGTTGCTGTGAAAATTAAATGTGTTAAAACATGGAAAGTGTTTAAAAGGTGTCAGGCACCTAGTATGTACTCAATAACTGTGCTGCAGTTGTAGTTTTTATTATTATTGGATTTGATTGTTACGGCGGGGGGAGGGGTAGTGCTTGAGTCACTGGAACTATCCACATTAAATAAGAGTACCGCAGATGCCCTGCCCTCAGCCCTGAGCAGGTAGGAACCAGGCACATCTGGGGAGCTGCAAGGCTTCTTAAGGACCTTGGAACTTTGCCCCTCATGCCCATTTTACAGATGGATAGCCCGAGCCTCAGGGAGCAGTAGGGCCCGGGCCAAATTCACCGTTCAATTCCTTTTCCTGACCTGGACCTCTCCCCGCCCCAAAGGGCGACTGCGGTGCTGAAGGCCAGCGCCCTCTGTAGCTCCCTCCCTCCCTCCAGGGCAGCTGGGCCCCGGCGGGGCCAATGAGGTCTCCGCGCGCCGGCGGGAGGTCCGGCAGGCGGGGCAGCCAGGGGAGGTTATTTTCTGTTGTTTTCCCTTTCTCTCTCCCTTCCCCAGTCCCTCCGCCCCGATTCTAATTAAAAAGAAGATAAAGCCTCACGCGGCCCGCGCCAATCAGCCCGACCAGCTTCCTGGATGCTGGATGCGCGCGGGGCGGCGGGGCGCGGGCCAAGATGAAGATTAAAGCAGGGAGAAAGAGAAAAGCCACCCAGACGCGGATGAATCAATAACACTTAAAACACACCCGCAGGCAGACAGCGCGCGAGCCCGGCAGCCGCCTCTCCGCCTGCGGTCGCCTCTCGGTCCGCGGTCGCGGCGGGCGGCCGCCTGGTCCGCTCTGCGCGCACCTGCTCGCAGCCGCGGCCGTTCAACTTGCGAAATGCCCGCTACGGAGACGCGGGGTGGGGAAAGGGGAGGAGTGGTAGCGGCAAAACACAAAGGCTCTGCCACACACACCCCCTCGCCGCAGGCCCCGCAGTCTGCCCGCTCCCCAAAGCCGAGCTGTGGGGAGGTTCCCCCCTGGAGTGAGAAAGCAGGTTGTGTGAAACCTGCCAAGGTGGCCCTTTAGCGCCAGAACCTCTATCAATCCCTCAAGCCCCCCACCCCCACCCCTCCGTGCTTCACACGCATTATCTCCTAAGTACAAAGGGTGACTGGCCCTGCAAATGCAGTTCCAAGACGCGTCCTGAGCCGCCCCCTCCCACTTTCCAGCCAGAGCACCGCCCCAGGCCCCACCTCCGTGGAAATGCTGGAGTGCAGCAGGCAGGGCTGCTCCGCAGGCGCGCCGGCGGACTCCGGTGCCCAGTTTTAGGGGGCGGGGTGGCCCGCCTCTCTCTGGCGCTGGCTCTACGAGCTTGTCTCTCTGGGTGTCTAGGGCCATCTCTCGTCCTACCTTTGTGTGTGTTCGTTGGGAATGGGAGGCGCTGTCCCCTTGGCCCGGGAAAGGGCTCTGGGAGTATTGAGGGTTCTTGGAAATCGGGTGGTGTCAGGGATCTGAGCAGCGGTTTGTGTTTTTGCCAGCGAAGGTCCCTCCCTCTAGGTACCTGTTCCCCGTTGAAAGGACCGGCCCCGCCTGCCACCCGGGGACTGCCCTGTCTCCAGGAGTGGCTGTGCCCGCTCCTCTGTGTACAGAGTTCCTCTCGGGCCCTTGGGGCTGAGCTCCTTTGGGAGCGGCTGTCGTCCTGACTCCCGGCTCCGGTGTTCCTGCGGGACCTGCTGTTCCTATGCCCTATGCTCGGGTCAGAAGTGTCCCTAGGAGAGGCTGACCTTCGCAGCAGCTAGTTCTCCTGAGTCCCCCAAGCCGGACCGTCCCTACTGGTTGTCTCTGGTTCTGGGGGCTTCCAGACTCAGGCATCCTCAGGATGGCCGGACCTCTGCCCAGTGTCTAGACTGTGCGCGCCCCTGGGGCGCCCGCCTGCGGGGGGTCTTTGTGCGCCCACAGCTCCAGCACCGCGCCCACCCAGTCTCTCTGAGGGGCCGAAGAAGTTGGTAGCCGGCGGCCGACCCCCTCCCCGGGCCACGCCAACTTTGCCGGGACACGCGTGCAGAGGATGCGAGCGGCCCTTACCCGATCCGGAGGTAGACCATGCCCAGGCTGAGAAAGAGGTGGCCCAGGCAGCGCCGCGCTTTCCGGTTCATAGTCCCCGCTGGCCGCCGGGGCCGCGGGCCGGGCTGTGCTGATCCCGCGGGCCGGCCCCGGCGGGGCTATCCACATAGCCCGCCCGGGAGGCGCGGGCCGAGGCGTCCCGGGGGCCGTCTGTCCGTGCGCCCGTGCGCTCGCTCGGCGCCTGAACCTCGCCGGGAGCGCGGGAGCCACGGAGCGGGAGGAGGGAGGGAGGAGCGAGCGCGGCGCGGGGCGACGCCGGGCTGCGCGCGAGCGGCCGGTGCAAGTGTGTGAGGCGCGGGGAGTGCGGGGGCGCTGCTGCCTCCCGCCCCCGCCCCTCCCTCCCTCCTTTCTCCCGCCCCCTCCCCCGCCCGCCTCCCCGGAGCGCCCGCCCCGCACCCCAGCGCCCGCGGGACAGGGCCGCCAGCTCCAAGCGCGCGCTCACGCCTTGCCCCACGCGCTCCCGCGGCGCCCCCTCCCGGCTCCCGGGCGCTGAGCCGGGCAGGGGGCGGTGGGAGTCCGCTCGACCCCCACGGGTCGCTAACTCGCAAGTTGCGCTTGAGCTGGCGCCCTGAGACTGCCTGCGGGGTTGAGAGGATCAAGGCTCAGCCGAAAACCCCCGCACCCTGGCTTGCCTCCTCGTCCTCCCTGCCCGGCCGAGCGCTCAGGGCTGGGCGGGGTGGGGGGGCGGTGTTAGGTGACACCCGGGTTCCCCCTTTCCCCAGGCTTCCGAGCCCAGCTTCAGAGGAGGGCGCCCCCTTCCGCGGAGCGGGGATAACTGGCTCAGTATATTCCTTCCCCACCGCGGTCTATTCGAGGGGATGCGGCAGGTGGGTGCCCAGGTAGGGCAGCCTCTTTTGGAATGCCGCTTCTAGCGGACAGTCGGAGTCGGGCTGAGGCCAGGATGCCCCGTACGGGACCCAGACGTGGGCCTCGCGAGCCGCCCGAGGGCGCCTGGCGCGACTGGCAGTTCAGCGCGCGCTCGCGGCGACCCCTGGTGGGCGCGGCGGGTGCTGTAGCTCAGCATAGCTCCCCGAAACAGGGTGCTCTGAGCATTCTAGCTGACTAGAGGGGCAGATCCCTTCCTATGATGTACACCCCAGTCCAGTGAGCTAGCGGCTGTTGGACTCACGTTTCAGCTGAAGAAATTGAGGCTCAGAGACACGAAGGTGTTTTCCCAAAGACACCAGCTAGTAAGTGGGAGAGCCAGATTAGAAACAGCCCCCCCCACACACGCATTAACCACCACCTCGCCAGGCCTGCCTATCCTTTAGAATTTTTTTGAATCGCCCCTGAAAACCGCTGTTCATGCCTGCATTCACATCACACAAATGTCTGTGCCAGGAATCATAGTGAGCACAAAGGATATAAGGAAAGAAGGATCCAGGACCTTCTCTCTTGGAGCTAGTGAGGGAGACAAACCAGAGGTAAACAATTATGTAATTTCAGACATCTCAGGGAGAGGTGAAGATAATAAAACAGAGTAGTGAGAGAGACAACATTGGGTGCCCAGGGATTATTTGAGATCTGAGGAGGTGGCATTTGAGTTGAGACCTGAAGGACACAGGATCTGGGGTCCCAGCATTTCAAGAGGGAGGACAACAATGCAAAAGCTTGGAGGTGGGCATGAGCCCCAGGAGGGGATGTGGGGCTGTGCTCAAGAACAAGAAAGAAAGCCATTGGGATGGATGGGAGGAGATGGGGGTTCACAGATCCCACAGAGCTATGTAGGGAAGTCAGGGAGCTTAGATTTCACGGGGGAAGTTCAGTGGGAAGACATTGGAGGGATAGGAAGAAGGGTGACTCATCTGATGTGTGTGTTCAAAAGCTCCCCCTTGGCTGCCCCGTGGAGAATCCGGGGAGGTGGGGGGTGAATGGTAGGGCTGGGCAAAGTGGAGCCAGGCAGACCAGAGAGGAGAATACCCCATGGATTCAGGTACAAGATGTTGGTGGTTTTAGAACACAGCCACACACGCCTCCCATTGAGAGGTAGGCTCTCTGTGCTCTCCTTGCTTGAATCCGGGTGGGCTTCTGTGGGGCAGGAGTGATGCTGGAAGGCTTTCAGGCTAGATCATAAGAGGCAATGCAGCTTCTGCCTTGTTTTCTGGAACACTCCTGCTGGAGCCCTGAAGGAAGGAGTCTGGAGGCTGCCATGATGTGAGGAAGCCCAGTCCACAGTCCCTGTTCAGTATTGGAGTTATCCCAGCCCAGGTGCCGGACGTGGGTGAAGGAGTCTCCAGATGATTCCAACTCCCGGCCTCCACATCATCCCTCCCTTTCAGTCTTCCCAGCTGAGGCACTGTGGACAGGGGCTTCTGTGGTCATCCCCAGGGTGCCCTGTCTAAATTCCCGAGCCCCCTAACTTGTGAGTATAACGAAATGATTGTTTCATGCCACTGTTTTTGGGACGGTGCTTGTTACACAGCAATTGTAACTAGAACAACTAAGGTGGAAGTGGGGTGCGGGGAGAAGACAGGACGATGGGCCTGGGTCACAAGCAGCTCTGACAGGACTTGGAAGGTCCCAACTGAGAGGGGGGAAGGAAAGAGAGAGAGAGAAGAAGGGAACGAACAGTGATCTCTAGGCTGGCTGGAGCTCTCCCGTGGATGGAGGTAGCAATGAATGACAGTGGTGGGGAGAGCCTGCAACAGCCAGGGGCTTGGGAGGGACAGTCACAAAGTGTGTCCTAGCTGTGTCCTTCCTCTTGTACCCCTCCTCCTCTCCCACCCTCAGATGGAGTCAGCACCTAGCTCTGAGCGGTTTTCCTCCAAGGCATCACCCAAATGTGTCCTCTCTTTCCTGTATGCATTGCCATCCTCTTCGACCCAAGATTTATTCACGTCACAGATGTGGGGGGATGCTCATGACCAGGACATTGGGGCAAGTGCCGGGATGTAACAGTGGGTCAAATAAATCCAGTGTCTGCCCTCCTGGAGCAACTCTTCTGAGGGCTGATTTGGTGATCAGTCACATAGGTGGCACTCACAATGTGCCAGGCCCTGTCATCAGCACCCTGACTCATTTAATCCTCTAACAATACCGTGAGGCAGGTGCCATTCTTTTTTGTTAATGTTTTTATTATTAGCATAATTATCATCATCTTATAGAATGGAGAAGGCAAATCATGGAGGGATTAAATAAAATCCCAAACTCCCACAGCTGTACGTGGCAGAATTGAGGTTTGAACCTACGGAGTTTTGACTTCAGCATCTGCTCTTAATCCTTCAATTATGCCTCCCGTCTAATGGAAAAGAGAGGCGGGGTCACTACGATAGAGAAGAAGGTGTTAGGCATCAAGGCGGGAGATGCGCAGAGGACTGTGGGGACACAGAGAAGAGGGCTCCAAATGGGTGGGTCATGGAAGGCTTCCTGGAGGAGGTGTTCCGAAACTGGGATCCAGAAGGAATGAGCTGGGGTTCACCAGGCAGAGTTTTCAAAGCCAGAGGAAGCAGGGCCCATGGAAGTCTGAGGGGCCTGGTGAATGGAGCATCAGAGGGAATGGGGGTAGGGAGGGTTGCAGAGATGAGACTCAACAGGGAGTCTGGGGACACAGGGCATATTACTAGGTTTGGGCTTTATCATAAAGGGAAGCAGGCTGTCACACGATCAGATTCATGCTTCAGAAGGCTCATGGCAGCTGTTATGGGGAATTGAGAGAAGGGGGCAGCACACGGAGGTAGGAGGTGTCAACAGATATGCAGGGCAGGAAGGCCCAGCCCACACAAGGGTGGTGACAGGTGGCAAGGAGAAAAGTGGACGGATTGGAGCGCTGCCTTGAAAGGAGAATAGACAGCATGATATGTCCCCAAGGACAAGATTCTGTCCTGGAGGCACTGTGGCTGGTGAGGACAACACAGAGATGGGACAGGGAGAAGCAGGTCGGAGGGTGATGTGTCTGTGGTCACCGAAGGGGCGGTTGAATGAGTGTGCTGGCGCTCAGGTGGGTGGATGTGGGCTTTCGAGGGTGACGGTCTCCACAGCGAGAAGTGCGCAGTCCTTCAAACCAAGGCATGGCTGAGATTCGGGGAGGCCGAGAAGGCTGAGTGTAGACAGCCCAGCACAGAGCCCCAGCTCAGCACGATTGAAAGAACCAACTGGGGAGGAAGAAGTCAGGAGTGAGCAGGAAGTTTCTCAAAGAGCTAGAGAGGGGCCAAAGAGTTTGCAGGATCAGACCTCACAGGGGAAGCAAGGACTGAAAAGGGTCCAAACTCATCAATTCAAGCATCCAAAGATCTTTACAGTCTGGCTCCAAGTCACCTTTTCAGCCTCTAATTTTCCCAAATCCCCTGTGTCCATATCACAAAAAATTAGTGGGTGGCCACTAATATTTACAAAATGGAAATAGACCAGAGAATAACAGAGGGCATTATACATAATAAGGCTCCAATTGTGTGTGTATACTGTGGGTTGTAATAAAAACAAACAAACTTGAGACTGTTACTCCATCCTGTTATTCCTTTTCATATGCCTGGAATGCCTTTCCCCTCTTTTCCACCTGGCCAACGCCTCTCATCCTTCACGGTCCTCCCAAATGTGAACTCACTGAAAAGCCTTCCCTGATTAACTTTGCCTCTGTCCTAGGCACTTGGTCTCTTCCTCTTTCATTCAACCATCCATCAAACATTCACTGAAGATTAAAGTGTGCTGGGTATGGGATCCAGCAGTAAACACAACAGACATGACCCCCTCCTTTGAAGAGAGCACAATTTAATGCATTTTTTTCCTTTGTACTCCATGGCCCTTTAGCTGATCCTGGCAGAGCCTTTCCCACCAGAAGGATGTCTGGGCTCACGTGCCTCCCTTTTCCATTAGAACTTGAGATCCTTGCAGACAGGACCCTCTCTCCTGCATCTCTGTATCCCCAGCACCCAGCATGACTGAGGACCACCATGGCTTGAGAAAAAGACCATAGACTTTGGTGTCAAAAAGGCTTGGGTCTGAATACCAACTCTGCCACTTAATAGCTGCAAAATCCAGGTCAGTTTTTTTTTTTTTTTTTAACAGTTGTTGGGCTTTCTCTGGGGCTAAAAAGTTTTCACTTAACTGAGAGCTCCCCCAGCAGGAACTGTGTCTGATTCATTGCAAGACCCCGAACCAGCTGTGACTAACTGTTTCATGACTCAGTGAGACCTACTGCAGGAAGTTCTTCTTTGGCAGAGCTATGCTAAGCAAGAGACTTTCCTCACCATTTGGCTCTTTCTGCCTGGATCAAGGGAGAAGGGTGTCTCTTCAGCAGGTGCTGCAACCATAGGAAGCATGCCTGGGGCAGGGGCACAGAGGACCCTGGCCTTTGGCTCCCCCTGCTGGATACAGAAGGAGCGGCTGCCTGGGTCCCAAGGA